CACACGAGCCCAACAGGTTTCCCTCCCGAGCACCCTCCTCGGCTAAGGATGTACCTAGGGCGAGTAAAGACGTACGCCGATGCCGAGAAACCCTCGACCGACCACTAAACCGACTCGAATAACCCTGGTTTCCCTCTTGAGCACCCTCCTCGGCTAAGGATGTACCTAGGGCGAGTAACGAACGCTGACGTTGAGCAGTCCTCGGTGACAACTTAACCAACTCGAATAACCCTGGTTTCCCTCCCGAGCACCCTCCTCGGCTAAGGATGTACCTAGGACGAGTAATGAACGCCGACGCCGAGCAGTCCTCGGCGACAACTTAACCAACTCGAATAACCCTGGTTTCCCTCCCGAATACCTTCCTCGGCTAAGGATGTACCTAGGGCAAGTAACGATGTTTGCCGACACCGAGCAGCCCTCGACCGATAACTTAGCCAACTCGAATAACCCAGGTTCCCCTCCCGAGCACCCTCCTCGGTTAAGGATATACCTGGGGCAGGTAACGACACTGCCGACCACTCAAGCAACACTAGAATAACCCACTTGAATAGCTGACCAAGGCCGAGTAATACGCAATACACACGGCGAGACGAGCAGTACTCGGCCTGAGTACCCTCCTCGGTTAAAGACGTACATAGGCTGAACACTACATACAAGCGAGACAAGCCAGACAAACCGTGACCGACCACTACTCACGTTTGTATAACCTAGAACGTCATCAAGCCCGCCAAATGCCCGATCACGATCAGGCTAATCGCTCTTAAGCCGATCACACTCGCGCACAACAACCTATCACGCTTATGAAACCAACCCTATTTTAGCCGAACACACTCAAACCGACTAATATCGTCCAACTAAACACCACGCCTCAACCACCAAACAAATCGCGAAATCACCCCTCTTGGCCGAACACGAAATCGGTTCATTTTAGATATTAAACATTTATAAACATGGCAAAAATACAAGTTTCCATTAAGGTATGGTCGAATAATCTGACTACTTACATCAAAAAACTAATTGAACCAGCACCAATGGCCATAATCACAAAAGGCACTAATGGCCCGATTACAAAATGATTAAATCCTAAACCTATGAAAAGGCCGATACCTACATTGCCACCGAGTCCGCCGGATTCCCATCTCCAATCACGTCGATGATAGGATCCTGCTCCTCGGTCACTTGAACAGGAGCTCGAGAGGAGATGCCCCGATGAGGGGCCTCGGAGTCGGGCTCGGCCCCCTGAGGGAATTCACCATAGCTTATGAACTTCCCGCCCAAGAAGTCTCGGCTAACATCAAACTGAAAGTCAGCCGAAACCTCACAGAAATGGTAAGCTTGCATGACCGCATGCTGGAAGCCGGCATCATGTTGGGCGAGAATCTGCTCGGTGGCTTCGGCTTCAAACTTGGCAACGGCCTCTTTCAGCCGGGCAATTTCATTTGCAAAGGCCGCGGCATCAGCCTTCATTTTCTAGACGGCCAGCTTCAAGTCATCGGCCTCCCTTCGATAGGCGTTGGCTGCCCTCTTCAGTTCGTCGGTGGACTCAGTAGCTTGAGCATTTGCAGCCAACGCTTCTTTCAATGTAGTCTCGGCCTCTTTGAGTCGGCCATACAGCCTCTCCTCAGAGACGGCTGAACGCATCATGACATGTTTCACGACCAACAAGGTCCGAGCATCAAGCTCATAGAAGAGCTTATACTCGGCCTCCGCGGACATGCCCTCAAGATACTGAAGTCCACCGCCGGTTGTGACGTCGAGGCTAATCAAGTTCTCGACCTGGGCGGTGAGAACAAGGAAGTTAGAGCCGGCCACAACAGCCAGAATGGAGAAGGCTCCACAGCCCGGCTGCTCCAAGGTCAGTTGCTTCGGTCGCTTGCTAGAAGAGCTCGGATGTTCCAGCTCGGCATCCTGCTCGGTAGACCTAATCCGAGAAGTACTCCCTTTCTTTTTTTGGTCGGCTAGCGGGATCAAAACATGGGCCGGCTTAGCTCATTGCAACTTCAGAGCCGACCTTACCGGCGGCACCTTTCCACTAGCCTTCGCATCCTTGGCCCTCTTCGCGAGCATGGCAGTCACGCCCAGTTTTCCTCCCAGTTTTCCTCCAGCCATTAGTCCTGCAACACAACAAATCTTAACATCAATTCAAAACATTGCTAAACTGCCGAAGCATAAAACACATACCTAACAAGGCCGACTCGAAATGAGACGTTTCAAAAATATCCAAAAGGCCTCGGATAGGTAAGCCTTTCGACAACTCGTTGAGAAGCTCCACGATCTCTTTGTCCTCGGCCGGGAGCTGTGATTCCGGTATTGCCACAAATCGGGTCGGGCGCCTCGTCCAATAGAAGGGGAATAGGGGGGATCCATCTCGGTCATAGAAACAAATCTTCAAATCCGGTCCCCAACGGGCTTTGAAAAACCCGCTCTTAAACCCTTTGTATGAAGACGTGAAGGCTTGCAGGAACCCACGCTTCGGCACCCGAGCCAACGACACCCACTTGACCGGCTTGCTCGACCTACAGATATAGTAGTAGAGAAAGGCTAGGGGCCGAGGAGTCAAACCTAAACAAAGACATAAGTTCCGAAACGCCTGCATTGCGGCCTAATCATTCAGGTGTAGTTGGGTCGGCGCAACGTTTAAAACTCGGAGCACGCCCATCTGAAAGTCATCAAAGGGTAACTGTATACCTAGGTCTTCAAACCAACACAAATAGGCGTAGAAGTACTCGTCTTCCTTGGTTCTCGGCTCCAGAAAAACAAAATCAGTCTCCGACCCATCGTCCTCGCACGCCTCGGTGAGTAGTGGGAATTCGTCCTCTCCGCTCCCAAAACACTTCTCCAGAGATACGAAAGTATCCAATAATTTCTGGTCGGACAGTTTTGAAAAATATATGCCGACCTCTCCATCCACCCACTCGTACCCGGGCATCTCCACGGTACCATAATCAATCTTTGCCCTTGCCCGACTACTAGGACCAGCCACGCCCTTGCCTCGATCAACACCAATCACTTCCAACTCGCCACCACTGGCCTCGGCATGGACGGCCTCGGCATGGGGGCTCCTCTGGCTGACCCGACCTAAGTCTCTACAATCCACCTCGGTTGCTCGTGCCAAGGCCACGGCCAGAGTCACCGGAGGCGATACCTCGACCACTTCATCGTCACTGTCATCGCGTTCGGGGTTGTCGAAGGGAAACACAACCTCACATTGTAGTGGAGACAACTTCGATATTTCACTAGAACCCGACCCCTCGTTATCGGACGAAGCACCCGAAGCCTCTGAAGATGTCCAGCTCCTAGCCGAGGAATAACCCCTATCCATTTATTATCACAAATTAAAAAATACAAAATTGTACCTGTGTTCAGTTAGCTCAGAAAAATTCTTGAACTCAGAGAACTCGGAGAATTCACAGCAAGTAAATTCCCAAACACCCCCCCTATTTATAGGCAAGGTAAACGGGGGAGGTGAAAAGACAACCCGAGACTACAACTGTTCGATCTAGCTCATCCAACGGTCCAGATTTAGTAACCGTTGGACTTATAACTGCTAGGGCCAACGTGGCAAGCCCTACCCAGCGCAGGTCTCGGCATAGGCCGCCTCTATTCAAGGTCTCGGAATAGATCTCGGCTAGCAAGCCCTCGGCACAAGTTTCATTAGTACTCGATGCTCCCGGCACTTGAGGTATCGGCGTAGCCCCATCTAGCGCAGGTCTCGGCATAGGCAGCATCTTTTCGAAGTCTCAAAATAGGTCTCGTCTAGTAAGCCCTCGCCAAAGGTATCGTCAACCCTCCGCATCCTCCCAATAAGACGAATCTTTCAACGCGGGCTCGCACTTTTCCTAAATAGGGATTGCACCCCCGGCTAGAATAATCGTTACAAATGTTTAGTCAACTACATACGTCACGGAAAACTAGCCACATAAGAGTCTCACGTATCGCCGCTAGTGATCGGAATAGACACCTACCATCCCATGCCGAGGATTCCCACCATTCAGTTTTATATCGTCTTCGTCTTTGCCGTCCTCGACGCTGCGGGGGCTGTATACCGTATGGCGGGTGAGGCCGATTAGACCGAGACCCGAGTACCCGAATATTGGATTGGATAGGCCGAAACCCCGAGCACACCGACCACTCACAATCCGCTAGACACGTCGGAGTGCTCGGCTAGACCTCACACTTAGGCCGAGACGTCCACGGAAAGATTAACTTACATAATACACCGAATTAACCCCCTAATTTCCCGGGGCCCAGTCCTTAATCACGGCCCAATAAGAAACACTATAAATAGACTCATTGCGAGGTACGTAACCAACTTTCAACTACCGCATTTATTACGCCGAGCACTTACTTGAGCGTCGGAGTGTCTTTGCAGGCACCCCCCTCACTTCGGACTACCCGGATTGGAAAGAGAAGACCGAGACGTAGGACCAGACCCGCTACTACGAAGATAATTGAAGTGTGTCTCCTAACACAGGAACAAGTGGTAAGAGAGAAGTATGGTGGTGGTAAAGAGGTTATTCCCTACTTTGCAAAGAAACCCACCATGTCTAATTTGTGGTGTGGGGTCTATAATGTGCGGCAGCTGGTGAAACCTCATATCTCTTGGTAGAAGGGTGATGGTCGTAACATTTGCTTTTGGCTTGATTCTTGGTTACCCGGATCCTCTACTATTATCTGTCACTAGCGGGGCCGAGGCACTTCGTGCCTCTATATGAATTTTATCGCTAACTTTAAAATAACGCATCGATTGAATGAATTCATTCTTGACATATAATTGTATAAATAATTTTACACAATATAATATGATTAATCCAATCATTGTTCATTGATGAAGTGCATCATAATCAAGACATAATAGAAGGCTAGTTAATATAAAAGAAAAATTTATGTTCTACATAATTATGTTTGCAATGATGGAATAAAATAATATATATAATAATCAAATGCAATTTTTCCATCATAAATTTTTTTTAATAGGAAGATCAAATAATGAATTTGCTTCAGGATGATTTATAGCTTCCCTGCAAATTATGAAAGAAATTAACGAAATTAAATGTCAATAAATAATAAATATCATTTTAAATAATTAATAATTAAATAAATTGCATAATGTCATACCTTTCGAGAATAAATTTTAATTCTTTATAAAATACATCGTCCATAATTTCTTTAACTTTAAAAAACTGCATAAACAAATAATAGAGTGTTAAGTATCAATATGACAGATTTAATATTTGATGTAAATTTTTATGTGTTATGAAAAAAATTACCACAACCTCAAAAATGGAGATATCTTGTTTTGCATGAAAGTTGTTAATATGACAGATATTACTCGATCTTGCATTTTCAAGTGTCCTATTATTGTAAAAAATATGAGTTTAGAATTTATTTAAATTAGGTAATAATACAACTATATTTTTATATATATGAAATTATCACATATAAACTATTTTTAGAACCATATTATTATATTACCTTTCTAATTTTTGAGACAACAATTCTTTTTTCACCATTTTCCAAAGTTGTGTTTTATCTACTATTACTGTAGAACTCCACCCAATAGAATATACTTTTAAACGATGAACCTGTCACAAAGAAAATACAATTTAAATAGATAAGCAATAACAAAATATGAAGTCTAAGCATGAATTAAATTGAACCTTGTTGTCAATGAGAGAAATTGTTGAGAGTGAATCATTGTCCTTCCAAATATTCCATAATTTTTGAAAGTCATCCTCCTAGTAAATATAAGTAATATAATGAAAAATAGATGATAATAAAGTTTCATAAAAAAAAAGTAAATAAATATGTTATCACTTACCTGTTTGTCAAAATACATATTCAAATTCTTTCTATTGATCTCTTCATATAACTGGAGGATCTCCTTGCATCTTAATTTGACTGTAGATAAAAAAAAAAGAAAAAAATTTTAGTTTTTGTATATCAGTATCAAGTATTAATCTAAATCCATCATAGTTATAAATTAAAAGGGGAAACACCTGATTTTGAGATAACAAAATTTCTTTAAAAACAATATTTTTCGTAAAGTTTCCATCTTCCCCTTCAAGTTTTCCTTCTTTAATAAGAATTTTCGTTGAAGCTTGAGAAACACCTCTTGACAAAGCAACATATAATTGACCATGACCAAAAACATGTCGCGGAAGATAAATTCCAACATTGGGTATTGTTTGTCCCTGTGACTTATTTATGGTAATTGCAAAACTTAGTTTCACAGGAAATTGCTTCCTAATAAGTACAAAGGGAAGTCCTGCACTTTCTGTTGTCTTATGTTTAATCCGGGGCAAAAAAGATCTCTTTCCAGCATTATGACCTGTTAGGATTTCAACATCCAACATATTCATAAAGAATCCACGGCATAATAACCTTGTTCCATTACATAAGCCAGCTTTAGGATCTATGTTTCGCAACAACATCAACGGTGCACCTTTTTTAACCTTCAGATTATGTGGTGGAAAACCACCTGGAGTAATAGAGTGCAAGTATTCTTGTTGATATAAGTTGTGTGTGTCCCCTTCAACCTCATCAAATGATAACAAATGTCGTTCTTCTCCTAGGAAATGGTTGATGATAATGTCATTAAGCTTTTGAACATCCTCATTTTTTGGTGTTAGTATGGCTCTTTTTACCATATAAGAAGCATCCCATGTATGAGATTCTAAATGTGGAAATGTGTCACGAATAAGTTTTTGTATTGAATTTTCCCCTTCCCATGTTATTTCAATTTGATGGGGAACTTTGACCATATCATCCAATTTGGTAGGTTCATTACCATCTCCAATGCGCATTAGATATTCTGCAAAATTAGGATCTTGTAATGATCGCATGTTTTGTCTCAAATGTAAAACCTTTGTGATAGGCCATAAATGAGACTTAACAATACATGCATTTATCATTTGTGCCTTAGTACCCTTTGGAACAACAGGAAGCACCTGACGAAAATCCCCTCCCAATATCATAATTTTACCACCAAATGGAGCATTACAATCTAAAATATCCTTTAATGATCTGTCTAATGCTTCCAAAGCATATCTATTTGTCATGGGTGCTTCATCCCAAATGATTGATGTGGTTTCTCTAATCAGTTTCGCAAGATTAGACTGTTTACTTATAGAACAAAATGAATCTGCCTCTACATTGATTGGTATCTTAAATCTAGAATGTGCAGTTCGACCACCAGGTAATAATGTGGCAGCTATACCAGAAGAGGACCTCTTTCACTGAGCACCGGCCATGCTTCAGCGCATATTGATAATTTGTGACACATGAAACTTGGGTCTATGCCGGGCATGTCGGACGGTGTCCATGCAAAAAGGACCTTATTCTGAATGATGACATGGCTTAGGGCGGAACGATCCTCTTCGGACACGTTGGCGCCGATGTACGTCACTTGAGTTGAAAGTGAACCGATCTGCAGTTGGATTTTTTCCTCAATTGGTTCTACGTGCTCCTCGTCATTCATTCTCGGATCAAGATCCCAAACTGGCGCCTTGTCCGGTGCCGAAGGGTTGACAGCGTGGACCCTTTTGGATTTTGACTGTCTTTCTTCCATGGGGGATATTCGCAAACTAGCAAAATAGCATTCTCAAGTGGCATGAATTGTAAGGATCTTCCCCTTGTTGGATGGAAATTTCATTGCTAGGTGCGGTGTCGAGACGGTGGGCGCCAAAATGTACCTGTCTGAAGGGCACACTAGTAATCTTCTCGTATTTTGAGGGCCGAACGAGAGCTCCAATCGAATATTCTAGTGAGGGGGAGGTACCTGCAAAAGGCACTCCGACGCTCAAGTCAGGACAAAGCACAGATATCGATAGTAATTAATGAACAGTGACGTTACCTTGTGATATGAGCTATTTATACTGACATTTATGGGCCCTGATTGCCTTGGGCCCTGTGACAGGATTATTGTATTAGGTAATACGCCTCTAATCAGATTATTGGTGTGATTAACTCTTAACTCTTGATTAGGAGTAATCCTTAACTCTTGATTAGTGATCTTAGTCCTCAGTGGCAGACCAGCCGTCGGCTACCTGGTTCGGCCATTCATATGTCGATTGGGTATCAGCCACCTGGTTCGCCCGTTCGGGTGCCGATTGGGCCTCGGCTATCTGGTGGCCGAATGGCCTTACTAATACAATCTCCATCTACAAATAGGAAAAAAAGTGTTAGGATGAGCTATTGTAAAAATAAATAAGAAATTTCTCATTATAAAAATTACCTAATTCTTCAAAACCATGTAACCAATTTTGAGTTAGAATGAGTAACTCTATATTTTCAGGAAGAATGGTAGAGCGATATTTAGTTAGCACCCGAGACCCAAGACTAAAAGCAGATTCGCTAGCAACTGTAGTGATTGGAATACTCAGCACATCACAAGCCATCTGAGAGAGGTTTGGATAACGATCATGACTATCCTTCCAATAAGCTAACACATCTAACTTTTCATGAAACTTTGGATCAAGATTTCCTTCCTCCAAATATAGATCCAATTCAAATTTTTCATTAGCAGTAGCATTTTGGCTTAAATAATCAACATATTCCTAAGACATTACAAAGAAAAATAAATTCAATATTCATTATTCAATGATAATTACTAAATAAAAATGAAATTAAATTAAATACTTAAAAAAATTATTAACTTACATCAAAGGTATCAAGTACTTGCTCATCATCTGTATATGAAATTGGTTGTGGTGGAAGAGGAGACACATTAGAAGTTGAAGCATTTGACTCATTTGATTTTACTTTCTCATACTCTTCAAATATTTCATAAATTTTCTTTCTTAAACAACTAATTTTCTCTTTAGAAGTTGAAGACTCAATTTTTCTATAAGCAAACTGAATAGCTCCAAACTTCATTCGTGGGTCAAGAATAGCACCAATGGCTTCACTAACCATTAACATTGTTATTAATATGTATATTACTCGGCCCTGCTTCATTGTCATTTGTTCCTTGAAACCTTGTTGGATGATCTGCATGATTATAAAATAGGAAAAAAAAGTAAATGTGTCAATACAAAAATTTTAATGAATTTATTAAAATAAATAAATAAATATAAAATTTAAATAGATAATTTATCCTAATTTTATGTCAAATAAAAGAAATAAACAATTATGAATATATTTTAAATTCATGATGACTAACCATGAATTATGTGATCAATATTTCTGATACTCGGTCCTGCTTCATTGTCATTTGTTCCTTGAAACCCTGTTTAAGAAAATTTAAATTGTAAATGTTTAGTAAAAAATAATAATAACTTAACCAAAAAGAAAAAATATTTTTGAAAAAATATATTAAAAAAACTATACACAACTAACCATGACCAATGTGACCAATATTTGAAAAATTTGCATTTGTTTGGATGTTACCTATTCTTTGAAACGTAGTAGACCGAGCTAATTGTCGTACATATGTCAGTCTTCTTCTGCTGTGTGAATTTGCAATTGTGGAATGTGAATTAGTTGGATGAGTTGTTGAAGATGATGTTTGTACTTCATTTTGTTGTTGTCTCCTTTGTTGCTAATTTATACGTCGCCTAGACAATTGTTGTTGTCTTTGATCCATGGTCATTCGATTTCTTCTATTTCTATAGTTTTGTCTCCATCTTTCTCGTTGTTGTTCTTGTTGTTGACCATTTGAATTTGGCATATTGTTATATAGATATCTGTCAAATAGCATTTGTGGACAATAGACAAAGTATTAATTTGTGAAATAGACAAAGTATGGGTTCCCATATAGTAGGGATGGCAAATAAACCCGTACCCGTGGGTAATACCCGAACCCGTCCCGACTTTGACGGGAAATACCCGATTTGATCGGGTACGGGTACGAGTATGGGTAAAACCCGATAAATTAAACCGGGTACGGGTATGGTGTCATACCCGTACCCGTACCTGTACCCGATTTAATTATATTAAAAAATTTAACATTTTATTATATGTAATTATTTATTATAATGTGAAATATTTATAGTTGTATAATTATTAAGAAATCTCTTAGATTAAAATATGAGATAAAGAAATAATCTAATTATAATTATAATATAATAGAAAAATAATTTAAAAATATTATATATTTTTTTTGCAAAAAAAATAAATAATTTTTTACGGGTACGAGTACGGGTACGAGTA